TCTGACTGGCTATAGTGTACAGAGAAGTAAATGAAAAAAATGTATGAACTGTAGCTACTCTCTACTGTCTCTTCCCATCTTCCAATAGTTCTCTAGGTCTGCCACTCATCAGTGTTTGAAGCTCTGAACCAAAGTCTCTGGCCTTGTATTTACACTGTTTCTATGGTAGATCAAAAGCTATAGGCAGTTGTCTTTTAGCCTTCCCCAGGGTTGTGACCCTTGTGCACTCTTCACTTTGTTGCTGCACTGGCAATGGCACGCCTGAGCCTTGCACATAGCATTGCTTCCTCTCTGATGGGGTACCTTCTAGGTGACACTTAACTTTGCTTTGTTAAAGGCAAAATTAAACTAGAATCAAGAAAAGCTTCTTGTTGTGACCAATAATTTTTAATGTATTGATTTAGGTATTACTTTCAAATTCTGTATAAAAAGAAGAGAGAGGGCTTGAGAAGTAACAAATACAGTGTCTAAACAGAACTCTATCCACCTACCTCAGAATGATATTAGCCGTCTCTTAGAAGAGTCTCACTTTGCTGGTAATGGGACCCAGTACATGGCATTCTCTTGCTCTTTCGGTCCTTGTTATTTTCTGCTTATAATTAGTCAGTTCTGGGCTTAGACATATATATTAGTTGATCAGGATGCCTCACTATATATTTCACATAGATACAACCTCATCTGTCAAGATTGCAAGTCATCTGTGCAGACACTAAACAATGACTGTCATCCTAGACCACCCACTAACCCACATCTTTCAGACAATTGGTATAGTTCAGCCAGTCCTGGCCCACAGCCCCCAGACCTGGAACCCTCATGCTCCACCCAGATGCTTTCTACTAACCATGTCCCATAAGTACACCTGGCCCCCACCCTCTTCTTCTTACCTCTACACTTTCCTCTTCTTCCTTCTGGGTTCTTTATGATTAACTTGCCAAGTCCATACAGATCTCCATCACCATGGGGACGTCCATATCCTCAGCAATGGCACAGCCCAGAGAATGCGTTCCTTTTTTGGTATTCAGCCCCTCTTAATCAGGCGTGGACATCAGGGTTGTTTTCAGACTCCTTAGTGATTAAGGAACCACGACCCTTTGCACAAGTGACAAGAAGAATGCAAGGATGTCTAAGACCAGGACCAGTGCACCAGACCCATATCCATCCTCATACATAGAGCTACTTCCCTAGAGAGCTTAAGCCCTGGGAAGAAATTAAGAACACACTGCCTTCATCTTGAGTTTTATTCCCACCAATGGAGTTGAAATACAAGAATTTCAAATTTTAGACCTCAGTGAGTGGAAAGTGTCAGTATATCTGAACACACCCCAGCCCTGAGCATGCCCTATGAATGGCCTCACAGAAATAAAAGCTTAAAATCACAGGCATTCAGCTAGCTGACCTTGGTTCTAAGTACCAAGCAGTGGTTATGTTGTTCAGAATCTTTCTCAAATGGTGGTGGGAGGTGGGCAGGGATAAATCTCTTAAATAAGTTGAGTCATTTCCCAAAAGAAAAAAGTCAGTATTACTGGCAAACTAGGAGGCTATTTAAGCTGTGAAATGTAAGGAATTAAATGTTCCCAGAAGCAAGAACTTTTATATATGTAGCCAATAAATAACAAATACTACATGACATACTAAATATAACAATCATGTCTTGATGACGCAGGTTGATGTAAATGTCATCTTTGCCTGGGAAAAGACTGGGAATGACCAGATGGAATTTTCCCTCGGAATGTAAGAGCTAGAACCTGTGTTTATTTGACTATCAAAGTGACAGCTCCTTTATGAAGTCATAATAGACCCATTAATAAGCCTGTTATATTGAGCATTTCTACGAGCAGAGGCTTTTCTTCATTGGTAATTTAGGAAACATTAAATGAAGAGTGTTTGCTGTCAGATGAGATACCTTGAGAATTTCCTAATCACTTTGAGATCTTAATAATTCCAGGCAAATAACAGTGTGGTGAATCATGCTTAAGTCTTGCATTTTTTTTCACTGCCACTTGCATTCAAGCTCCCTCCAAGAAAATACACATAGAAATTGGTAGAGGCCAGCTAATCTACTTATTGAAGGCATCATATTTAGCACTTAGATCATTCATCACTGGCTTGTTGGCAATAGATGCTAGTGGATGAGTGGCATACCTATGAGGAGTTATTGACTGCGAGATTCTTGATCATGTATTTTTTTCATAGCACTGTTATTATTCCCATCAGGAATATATTCACTTGTACTGGAACAGCATGTGGGACACCGTATATAAAGCATTGTGTTGTACTGTTTTGCAAATACCACTTGACTTGTCTCTAGTAACAGTGCCTACTCTATTATAAAGCTGTGTTGGGATGCTGGAATGGCCATACAAGTCTTAGAGCTAATAACATCTTAGGGTAGTGGCTGGCACATGGTGACTGTGAGATGTTGAGACTTTTCTAATTCTCACTCTAGCGATCATTACCTATTTTTAGACTGTGTCTTCTAAGGACCCTGGCAGATTATTAACTGTCTCATGAGCTCTTTTCTTACTTCACATTGAGGACTAGCTTCTTTGGGCAGCTTGCATACTGAAATGACTATTCCTAAGGATATATTTGTTCTAAGTTCACTTGTATCTATCTGATGAGTCAAAAAAACGAACAAATACAAAACACCTAGTTTTTTACTCTAATCGAGCAAATGTTACCACCCACTATTCCCTATGCTTTCTGTCAGACCCATTTTCTACAAATAAAACACTTGACTCTTAATGTTTTTTCTCCCAGTATACACCATATTTTCAAATGGGAGCAAATATTATCACCATCCATTCAGTTGCCCAAACCAAAAACTGAATGTCATCTTTGCCCTCTTCCCTTTTTCCCACAACTGTCCCATAAGGTAAAACTTTCTACAAAAAAAATACAGACTTAACCTACCAACTTTTCCCACCCAAACCTTCTGTACATTCATCCAAGCCACCACCGCCACCTCTTTCTGGCCCAAATGTGCTGGCTTCCTTCATGGTTTCCCTCATTTCCACTTACCCTGTATTCACTTCTAGTACTCAATAGTCAAAGTAGAAGTTTTGAAACAAAATTTAGATCATGCCGTATTCTCAGTTAAGTCTCCTGAGAGATTTCCCACTGTGTTGAATATAATTCAACCTAATTTTTACAATCTACAATGTTGGCTGGTGTAGCCCCGTAGAAGACTACACAAAGCCCTCTTCCAATCATTCCAGTTTATTTGTTTCTTAGAAGTCAAGTCATGAATATTCATATGTGGTACTTCGATTTGTCATCACTTGAGCAATACTAATTACTGTTACTTGTCTATAAGCTCCCTGAGGTCAAAGACCATGTCAATTCTGTTATCACTGTATCTTCAATGTGCCCCAAATTTCTACCACATGGTGAGTAGAAATTAGATGTTTTGTTCATCAAGCAAATGAACTTACCCCAAATTGTAATTATGACCTCATCTTTTCTCATTGAAGCGATGTGTTAAAGATAATGCACTGGTGACTTGCAATAGGCGTTATCTTTGTGCAAGTCTATAGCCTTTCTCAGAGACTAAAGTCCTAAGAGCCTTGTTGCAAGAAGCCCTTGAACATGCTCCTCAGTGCTCTCCATGTACCCAAACTCTGCAGGTTTTGTTTGGACACAGACTTCCCCACTAGGCTCCCTCTTTCCAAAGTGTAAAATACTACGATTTCTGTGATAGCTACTCCAAGTCATATATTCATGAGTATTTCGCATCTTAAAGTAAAAAAGTTAAAGCCAAATGTGTTAATAAACATATTTTAAATTTCTCTACCAGCTGCAGTTGAAATTTTTATAATGGTTTGTTTTTAACAGAAAAATATGTTTGGCACATTTATGAATGAGGTAATTTTGAGGATGTCTGGTAATAATGATAAAATTAGTATTAGGCTCCTTGTTTTACATGGAGCTGTTTGTCTATTAGGCATCAAAGGGCACTTTGGTAATTTAAGCCATAAAATAACAAAGTTATTGGGGGGAATAAGAAATGTGAGGTCAAGAGAAATGCAATGTGAAATCTGTTTTCATTGAGACTTTACCTTTTAGTCTCCATTCTTAAACTTACTGCCCTCTAGAAAGCAAGGCTATTATATTGGGAAATAAAATGTCTTTAAAGATCTGAGCCATCAGTTTAGGATGGCTATGGTAAAGACTCTGTAATTGCTAATGAGGCCTTGGATGTTGAATGTCTCAGCGCATCCATTGGGGCCAGCCTCTTGCCTGTTCTACAAGAAGCTGTCACATCAAATTCTTGTCCAGACTCCATGGGCACTTTGATTCCTAAACCTTTCTGAGAAACCTAATCTGAAATCAAAGTCAAGTTTCTTAGATGTGGTCAGACAAGGTCACATTTGAAACAGCCGAGTGAACCCACAGATCAAAGTTGAAAGGTAATGCCTCCCTCCTGAAGTTGGCATGGACTTACCCACCAGCTAACCTTTCAGGGTTTTTTTTTCCTTGCCTTTTTCACCTCTTCCAAATGGTCTGGGAAAATGAGAGTTTTTTCCCCTTAAAGAAATAGCTGGAGAGTTTACTTAAAAGCAATCTTTAAAACATTGAACATGGCCATGTTGGAAGTGCACTTTATACCAATCAGTGAACCAGAAGACATTTTACTGAAGGTGTGTTTCACTGTTCTGCAGAGGGACTTCCCTTGGTAAAAAGGCCATAGTAATTTCAGAATCATGAGGTGCTTTTCAGGTTAAGCTGTCATGATCTTTCCATGCTGCTGTGTCCACCAACATGTCACACAGGACCACTGCTACAATGCATGGCCTTTGTTTTTTTTTTTCCTCTTGCCACCTTTCTTCCCTGTAAGGCTTTGAGTTATTCTCCAGAATGGCGCTGGAAAAAAGGGGTAATGCTAACTCTCATCAGATGTGATCTTATCGTCACATTACACTTTTTCTGTTGTTTTTTTTTTTTAAATCAAAGTCACTGTGATTAAAAAACAACAATCTTGCCATTGCTTTATATTGCAGTGTTCTGTCTCTTGTGGTCGAGGGCATAAGCAACGAAATGTTTACTGCTTGGCAAAAGATGGAAGCCATTTAGAGAGTGATTACTGTAAGCACCTTACTAAGCCACATGGGCACAGAAGGTGCCGAGGAGGACGGTGCCCCAGATGGAAGGCTGGCGCATGGAGTCAGGTGAGCAATGCTTCTCCTCTACCCAAATGCTCCCCTCTGTTCAGCCCCATGCCTGACACCAGCACATTCATTTATGTTTCTCTGCATTGGTTTCATTTTACGAGCCAGGAGGAATCTTCTTCACCTGGGCAGGCTGGGTGGCCTTGGACAAGTGACCTCAGGCAACAGATCTTTGACTATACCTAAGTGGTGCGGTTGTGAGGCTGAATCTCATACGGTGATAGACGGCAGATGTCTAATGCAGAGTGGCCCTTCAGTATCAGACTTGGTGGCCTTGCATTATCATTCGCCACTTAGAAAAGCCCAGCTTAGATTGCACTGAGGTGAGCGGTTGTCACCTGACAGGAACTGAGGCTCAGTTTACCTTGGAGACTCTCAGAGAGAGCACTTTCATATCACTGTCCTGACGTACCCAGAAGAAACATCGTATGAGAGGGAGGGTGTAGTCTGAATTACTGTTTCAGGGGTGTCTGTCTATCACAGCAGGGAAGGCATGGCTGCTGGCACAGCGCGGTCTATGAGCCAGCAGACCAGGAAGCAGAGAGACAGAGCTAAAGGTGGAACAAATGTGTAACCCTCAAAGGCAGCCTCCAATGACCTATCTCTCCAGCAGTTACACCTGCCACCACAAAGGTTCCACAACCTCTCAAAATAGTGCCACTGCTTGTGAGCTAAGATAAACCTGTGGGACAGTTCACCTTCAAACCATCACGATTGTCAATATGAAACACTAGCCAATATCCCTCTACCTGTTTGCTTCTTTACAACTGACACTGGGAGCGTGAAGGAGAGCGTTATGTCATTTCGTAGCTGTGTAGCATTGGGTGATTTATTTGACCTTCCTGAGCCTATTTCGGGTGGTTCTTAGGAGTGTTTTAGCTCTGTCTGTCTGCTTCCTGACCCACCAATGATCTGCAGAAATGAATGAATGCCAAGTGGTTTGCTCATGGGAGCTTGATTACAGTAGACTCTCCAGAGCGATATTTTTGTTTGGATGAGAGTGATGTATGTATGCTTTAGATGGGAAAGAGAAAAGGAGCCCAGGACACCAGTTACAGTCTCTTATTGAACCTGCAAAAGCAATTTTTTTAAAAGCTTGTCAAATTAAAGGCACTGGTACCTAATCCTTAGAGTAGGACTCAACCCCACTGCTTGTATGTTTTCTCACCGTGCTTTAAGGTGCTTGCTTGAAAGTAACAAGGTTCAATTTCTTTGAAAGCATTCTATGCTTAATGTTGAGCCTTTCCTCTGTCGATTGGATTCAGCAGGAGCTTTTGCAGTCTTCTCATTCTCCGATGCTGTGGTTACTCATGCTTATGACTCCTAAGGATCAGGGAAAGCTAGGCTCCAGGTGGGTGGCCTCAGGAAGAATTCTCCCAGCTTTGGGTGCAACCGTGTTAACACGGGAAGAACTGAGGATTTTCCACTTTATTATTCTAGTGGAAAATTCCTCTAGAGATCTGAATGCTGCTGACATGTCCTTCACTGACATCATTGTTCTCTATAGCTATGCCCCACTTTACAAAAGTACACAGCATAGTGAGTGTATCACTCCCCAGCACAGTAGTTTTGTTCCTCTAGAGGCTCGTGTCATAAAGAAACATCTGGGGTTTGCTTGTTGGCTTTAATTTGGCAATCAAAGAATCCATGCTCTGTCTTCCCCTGGCTTCTGTTGGGGATCATGTTCAAGGCAGTATGTCATACTTGTCATCCTCCTTAATGGTTTGTAAGTGGCCATTATCATCTTTTAACTTCCAGCCCTTTTGTTTTTGGAGCTATTCAGTTCATGCAAAGCCTGCAGCTAACATTATTTAAGATGCCACACTAATTAGGTTGTCCTCTTGTAGACTTTCATGCTCTGTTACTCTTCATTCTGTTCCTTGGCCTTTTCTTATCTACTTATCTAATGCATTTTCTCCCAGAATATTAAGCTCTGAGCATGTAAACATCGTGCTTCTTAAAGGCCAAGTTATTCACCAAAGAGATGCATAAAAGAATCTTTTGCTCTTTATTGGTAAACACAGACTGATTTTTTGCTACAATATCCAGAAGAAGCCTAAAATTGCTTATAAAGCTATGATGGTTAGGTGTAAAGTCCTTTTTATTTGTTGGTTGGTTTGTTTAGCAAACGTAGATAAAAGTATTATCAGATGCCTCCCTAGAAAGAAGCAAAATCACTCGGAATTGATTTGTAGGGGTAAATCGTAAAAGGAGGAAAGACCTAAACATCACTGGGGCCACTAGCTGATGGAGAAAGATGGTCTGCATGATTAAGGATTATGGACTTGCTAATTATCCAGTGGTAAACAAGAATATTCCTAAGGCAATGATATTAAGCAAAAGTAATGAGTTCTTACTTGCTACAGTATTTAAATTTTATATCTGGCATTTCTATTTTCTGCTAGTAGCTATACTCCAGTCATCATGCCTTCAAGGTATGAAGAATAATTAGGACAGCTTTTCATCATGTCAAAATGTCTAATGATAAGACACATTGAATGTTGGCCCAGGACTCTGCCATACTTAGTAGCCCCTCCCCAAATGGAGTGTTCTGAGATGTAAAGTGGATGTTTCATTTCTGTGTCCTTTGAAATCTTGAAGCTGTAAAGGAAGTTCACTTTAAAAAAAAATCCTCACTAATGTCTTAAAGGATTTCCTTTTCCCTCAAATGGTCATGTCCAATTTGTTTAGAGGGTTTTGATCAAGAGCTAAGGAATGCTGATAAAATTTTAAAACAAAAATCGCCATTGGGTTCTTGATTCAGCCTGAGGCTGTAAAGGCTCAATATTTTCCTTGGGCCAAAGACTTCCAGGGTACAGTTTGCTAGGGTTATGCTGAACCTCTAGGAAGCCCTCTCCCCACCCCTAGAATGATGGGGAAAAGCAGATTGGGTTGAAAGTAGTATTTCTTTATTCAGCAGTCCTGAATTGTCTCCATCAGGTCACTCATCATCACTCCTGAGTTCCTGCCTGGCCTTTTTCTCAGTTTAACACCTTTGGGGTCAGGATGAGCCTGACAAACCGTGAAATGTCATGATTTACTTCTTTACCCACACGATGTGGAACGGAGTGCTGTAAAGCTGTGGAGCCTTGGATTCCTATGAATTAATTTTTACATGATCTCTGTTGCAAATGTACAAATGAAGCTGGCAGAGTGTCCTTCAAATCACCCGCCGTTATTGATGTTGATTTTTTCCTGTAGTGGGAAGGAAAGCAACCCCATGTTTGCGGCATTTGCAGCAGGGGACTTTCCACCTGTTCTCTGCAAACAGTGGTGACTATGTAGCTTGTGCCCTTTGAGAACTTAAGGAAGTGATCATATGAATGCTGATAAGAAACAGTGTTGCTTTTTAGTACTTTCTGGACTCTTGGTTCTTGTGGGTTTTATTTGGGCCACCAACCTTAGCGGCCCATGGTTGTTTGAATATACACGTCTCACCCCAGGTTTTGCTGGCATAGTATAAAACATCGCTTCATGGCAGTACTGTGCTTCGAAACTAGGATCTCTGTTCTAATCCACAGTGGCATTGCTACATTGCCTTGCTGCATTTGATTTTGATTCAAATTTAGTGTTTTGTTTTTCCTTGAGCTAAGGTAATTTCCTCCGTTCTTCGCTTTATTTATTGATGGAATATCTATTGCAAAGGCTTATTAGGAAATAAAAATTATTTTAAGGGAAACAGTTAGCAATGTCTGGAGAAAAAGAAAGGCAGTTTCCAAATGTCCACAATACTCCAAGCATCCTGCTTGACCTGCCAAGCACTTTGCTGAGAACCTTATATAGAACCCAGCATATGAAATGCACTTCATGAAAGTTTAGTGACTGGTGTTATGATTTATACACTCATTTTCAAGATAGTTCCCACTTTAAAATATTGATATCACTGTAATACTAGAAGAAATTGTGTGGGGTTGGGGGTGGGAACACAGACCCCTTTCTAGCTTTTCAGTTATATGTTGATTCCCCAAACATGAGGAATTTCACAGATTTTTGTTTGTTTGCTTGCTTGCTTTGTTTTGTTTTTAAAATCTCTGTTAGTGTCAAGTTCCCCTTAAGCCAGTGAGTTCTGCAGTCTGGCATTGCACAGCGGGGAACTAAAAGAGATGAAGCCTGAGAAACATCTCCCTCCTTTCACACCCTTTCAAACAGACTGGCCTGCCAAGATGATGGGAGGGGCACATTAATAAGGGCGGTGCAGATGTTCTTTGCCTGGAAGCTAAAAAGTTCACTGAGCATAGCTAGATGCAGGATCATGCTGGGGACCTTTCCGGTGCTGGGTTTTTCCTCAGGGATTCCACACAGACCTCTCAGAACTTCTCAGGGAAGCTGGCTGTCTTTGCACATAAGTTGTTGTCTCCCAGGAACCATCGCAGGAGAGTGAGACACAGTTGCAGCATACCTCCTTCTGCACACATATTAGCACAAATGCACTAAGCAGAAAAGCAACCTTTGCACTTCATCTTCACTTAAGGCAGGGCGATAGTTCTTAATTAATAAAAGCATCATCCCAAAGTTGTCTTCAATATTATGATAATCAGAAGCCAGAACAACATATTATATGTCAAAAAAATTTTCCTGCGTCTCCATTTGTCCTGTGCAGAATTATGAAACATTGTAAGAAGTGATTGTTCAAACTGTAGATATTTATGCCCCTTAGGACCTTACCCTCACTGCCCTCTAGGTACTTCTGTTTAGTAAGGATAGCATCAGAAGGAGGTTTGGGGGTCTGGGGAAATAGCTCAGCAGGGAAGCACAGGCTCTGCCACCATGAGTTTAGAATCCTGGTCAAGATCTGAGAGCACACCCTTGAGGTCCCATTGCTAAGGAGGCAGCGCCTGAAAGATGCCTGGTGCTTGTTGACCAGCCAGTGTAGACTGTGAGTTCTGTGTTCAGGAAAAGGCCCTTCCTCAAAAAATAGAGTGGAGAACTTTTGTAGACAATAACCTACATTGACTACTGGCCACCATACATATGCCTGCAGACAACAAAGGAGTTTCATTTACTTAACAGCCTAATTAGTACTAAACGCTCTAAAGGTATTTCCCATTTTTCTTTGTTGTGAAAACATTATGTGATTTTTCAACTTACATCAGCTTTATATCAAATTCCAGTGTGTTTACATTATTATTCTCTTTTTATTTCTGTTGCCCATTGTTCTAGAAGTATATTCTTGGATCTAAGAGTCCAGCTTCAACTATCCAGAACTTTTTGGTTGCTGTTGATGACATTTGAATGTTTCTGTCATTTTCTGGGTAGCTCTACTCCCATTCTTTTCCAGGACTGCCTGTGTAAAACATTACTCATGTAGGCCCTGTGAGCATTAAGTGACTGTTGTCTGGAGACAAAGCCATTCCTGGCATTTAAGAGTCCTTGCCTTCTCCCAGAACATAATGACTTTAAAGTCTGGTTTCTTGTGGGTCACAAACTCATTCAATTCAATTAATCCAATTAAACCCAAACAATAGCAGCAAGGTTGGGACGCAGCATTGTCTTCGGCTCACTTTGATGTGAGCTATGAGCCTCTTCCCCAGCATAGATTTTCCTGAAACAATAAGATTTCCCAAGCTGCCTGCTAAAAAGGAGATTAAGCTGCAGAAGCATCCACTTGGGTGTACATCTTAACAGAATTTCCATCATTTGCAGAGCACCTTGAATTTTCCTACAAGTAAATCGGACAAGCGTGCAAGCATAGCATAAAGAGCCTGGTTCTGTTTTAAGAAAAGACTTCCTCTTGGCTACATGACATGAATGTCAAATAACTTCGTTTGCTCAACACCAGGCAAATTAATAGAGACTGAGTTATTCCCCCAAAGTTGCTAATAACCTCTAATAACTGAGTTCAATATTATGCACTTCTTCTAATCAAAGGTTGCCGTTGGTTTCTGGCTGACAAAACCTTAATAAAGACAATAATTCTTGGCTTGCCCATAAGTGAGATTATGCAACCAGCAATGAGGAAGCCATTAAAAAATTAATTTAGGGGAAAGTTAATTGGTGTTTTGCAACTTGGTCAACAAAATGCTTCATCGTGATTAATGGGATTTTTCAAGGACTGAAAAACATTAAGCCTGAGGAAATTATTTTTCCTTATTAGCTTTTATTCTTCATCTATTCATTTGAGATTATAAGCAGGCAGAGATACTTAAGTGAATCCCATGATTTAAACAAACAAACAAACAACAAGCAAAGCAATGTTTTGTCTCCAGAAATAGAAACTAGAAAATAAAGGGGCTGGAGAAAGTCATTCTACTTATATGGCCTTAATCATCAATGGTTGGTTCTCTTTGGCTTAGACTGTAGAACTATATCTCCCAGCTTTCACAAGTCATACACCTTTTGCTTGTTTGTTTCAATGTGGTCCCATTACTTATGGGCTGCGCCATTTGCCCACGATCTCTCCACCCTCCGTCAACCACTGAGAGCTTTGGTTTATCCCCACTTGTGGCTCCTGCTCCCTCTCCAGCATTGGCAGTGAGTTTCCAGCTTTTAGACATTGCCTTGGTATCCCCCTCCTTGGAAATGAGAAAGCATCTTGACTGCTGTGAAAATCATTGGATTAAGAAAATCACCCTCCTCTGTGACCCACCCCTTCCCGCCCTCCAGAACGAAGGAGCCCAAGTGCCTACTTACATCCTGTGTCTTCTCAGTGCTCTGTGTCCTGTGGCCAAGGCGTGCAGCAGAGGCATGTGAGCTGTCAGATCGGGACACACAAAACAGCCAGAGAGAGTGAGTGCAGCCCACACACCAGACCAGAGTCGGAGCGTGTCTGCCAAGCCTCACCATGTCCTCTCTACACTTGGAGGGCAGAGCAATGGCAAGAAGTAAGTAGAGCCATGAAGTAAGTGCACACCTGCCTGCGTGTTGCTCCACCCCCTTGTCAGCATCATATCCGCACCCTATGGAGCCAGCAAAGCCATTGAGCACAGTGGCATTGTTGGCTCCTTCCCCAAAAGTTTGCTGCTCCTTCCCCAAAAGTTGGCTCTAGGCAATTCCTGTGTGTGTGTCCCTGGTATTCTTGACTGTTCCAAAGCTGTGTTCACTGAAAGGGTGTGTGTGTTGGGGGTTGGGGGAATGCTTTAACATGCCTTTGGCCAAGAGCATAAACACAGAGATAGCTTTCACAGAAGGGAAGATGGGAGGGATATTTTAATATGTTAGTTCAGATTTGGTTATTCTGTGCTAATTTAAATAGCCATAAACTGCAAGTCACAACACTTGAGGTAAAACCTAGGCTTATTTTCCTCTTTCTGTGGCATTGACTCTTATGGAGCAAAGATGAGCACTCATGTGAAACACTCATCAATTAATGTAGAATTTCCAACGGTTTCAACAATGGATGGAATCCGAAGAACTGTTGAGTTAATGCAGAAATAGGCCAGGCTTATTTTTCCTCCCCTCCACAAGTTAATTCTTGACTGAAGCAGACTCTGAAGTGTCCATGCTGAAATGTCTAGTGGCCGGGAGGCGATGGGTAGAGGTGGTATAAGACATTAGAAGGAGGTAGTCCCAGTTCCCAGAACAGAAAGCTAGATTATAGAAAGAGGGGGACAGATCTGGAAAGTAAAATCAGACCTGCTGGCATTGGAATGAAATAAAATATCCACACTGCCAAAGCAGGAAGATGAAAGACCACCCACACTGAGAGTGGTCCTCAACTCAAGGCAGTGTGGTTTGGAGGTCATTGTTCTGCTCTTTGTGCTGTGCTGGGACCTTTCTGTCCATCATCTCACTTCGTCTTTTGAGCAGCTAGATGAAGGTGAGAATTATCATCATCCCTTTTTTCAGGTGGCAAAACTAAGGTTCAGACAGACTTTGCCTGTGTCCAAGTGGCCCACATCCTGCAAGTGGAGGAAGCCACACATTGTACTGTTTTTTCTCTTAAGTCTTCATGACTTTCCAACTGTACTCTGCACCCTTGGGATCAGTTTCCCAGGATAAATCCATTCCCTACTACAGTGATTCTCTTCTTTAGGAATTCCTACTTCTCCATTGGCCTAGTCTATGTGACTCATTTTCCTTCTAGACTTTTCTTTGCTTCTGTCAGAAAGTGTTGGGAAGAATACCTAAGGCAGTTAAATTGTAGATTACTTGGACTGGAGCAAAATATGTTATCTGTCAGCATGCTTTGAATCATGTCAGTGTGGTCCCTACCTCAGCTCTGCCTTCAATAGCCACATGACTCAGACAGAGAAGTCTTATGTCTGAGCCTTGGCTTGCCACCTGTGGAATGGGAATGATAGTAACTTTGTAGAGTTGTTTTGAGGAAGTTGGAAAGACCACTTATCTATCTTCAGTCACAGTTCCGGGAAACTTGCCACTGTCTTTGGAATTCTTACCTCAGACCTATCCCTGCCCATTTTCTCCACCTCATTCTTCATGCCAAACTTAACTCTGTGTCCCTGTTCCAACCACTAGGGAGTGAGAAAGGGTTCACAGACGAATCAAAGCTAACTGCTTACACTGTAGCCAGTGCTTGAGAGTTCGAGAGCCAACTATGAAAGTATAAGCTCCTTTCTCAGTTCCTTCTGGATCCGTTGGGGGTACAAAACCACACAAGAAACTTGCCCAGAAGTGTCCATCTTTGCATGTGCTGTGCAGATGGGCCTTTTGAAATCCTTCTTCAAATATTGCTTTCAAGCTCCTTGTAAAAAGATTTAGGAGTGGTGATGCACGCCTTTAATCCCAGCACTCAGGAGGCAGAGGCAGGTGAATCTCTGAGTTATAGGCCTGCTGAGGACATATAATGAGACCCTCTCCAGAAGGAAGAGAAGGAGGAGGAGGAAGACAGTGCCGTGAGATGGCCTGATGGGGCTGGTATTTAGCGAACTCAGCAGAGGTTAACCATAGTCATGGAGTGAATGGTCTCTACAAGTGATAAGAAGCCAGGCTCTAGTGTTCACCCCTCCTCCGGCATGCTTTCTCATACTCCCAAGGAGGAGAGTTTAAGAGGCAACAGGTGGTGAAGGTGGCTGGAAGGCCATGAGTGACCCTGAATGGGAAAGTAAAATTCAAGGTAGCAGAGGAGAGACAGGCCCCATCAAACCCTTTGTGTTTCCCCGCTCGCAAGGCACAGTGGGAGCCTACCCGAGATGTCCACACAGCATCAAGGCTTAGAGGGAAGGTTGAAAACCACTAGGCAGCTGTCTTAAGTGACCACATCAGGAACCCCACAGCCTCAGCCCCACTCACCCGCGGCAGGACTGCTTTCGAGACCAAAGATGCTCTCTTTAAACAGTAAGTTGGTGCTCGCTGCACAGCGCAGCACTTCCCAACCTCTTTCCTCCTGTCTGTCTAGCTCTGGTCTCTTCTCACAACCTCTCACTCAGCTGCCATTCCACCTGAACTCGTCCCTGTGTGGGCTTATGTTCTAGTGACCCATGACCTGAAGTTGGTGACATATTCACAGCACAGTCTCCCAGCCAACCCAATGGGACACACTGGGGCTTCATCTACTGGAAATCCCTTTCTTTCCCAGCCGGCCATGGCAACCACTTCTTGTCCCGCTTGCCTTTCGTGTATGTATGCCACCTTCCGCTCCTCCTTGTGCAGTATTAAAACTCAGTCGGTTGTTGTCAAGACGAATTCCCTTCTAGGCCTGTGAGCAAACAGCATCCCTCTCCTACTAAGAAACAAATAGTCGGGGCATCTGAATTGAGAAACCTAACTTTCAAGTGTTCACCCTGCAGTGATTATCATATTTTATACAGCTGCAAGGATTGTGACCTGCACAACTCCAGGGAGTGCTTTTCCTGTAGGGTGCAATGTGAGAAGCTTCCCTTGGAATTGTCTAGTTCAGAGGTCTCACATTGGTGATACGAAATATAATAGAACGTAGTGTTTACTAAGCAATGGATGAGGCATTTGATGAGCATTTTTACACTAAGTAACCTGTTGAACTGTGTCCTTAACTCTTTGATGGTTTTTTTACCCACTTAATGTGAAGAAACCAGAGGCTAAGGTAGTTTAATCCATGAAAGTTCTTGCATGAAAGGCTAGAACACAAACTGTGAGAGTTTATATCCTTGGTTCCTCACATCGGCGTGGCCCTCGCCTGCATTGTTTCATTTCTCTCTCAGCGGCATCATAGTCTTTTCCTGGAGAGTTGGTTCCCAAGCATCGCTCACTTTCCAGGGTTGCACTCCACCTGCTTCTAAAACCAAGATTCTCCTCTGACCTACAAGTGGTAGGAAGGCTCTGGTGTTAGCACCACTCTGCTCAGAGGGATGTCTTTGACTATGCCAGTGAGAAAGGGTAGGGGCTGTTTAAGACGGGGACTTCTGTTTTCCAGAAATTTCCCAGCATTTAGTATATTACCTACAGCACACAAGATACCTTTGAATGGTGGAATTTATGAATGGAGGGAACAAAACATGGTGTGGGGAGCAGGGATTGGGGGATGAGCAATGCCTGTTTCTTCCACTAAAGAGTAAAGACATTCCAGTGTCTTCTGGAACAGTTAAGAAATGTTCCTTCTGGAAGGGCAGTGGCTGTGTTTTCTTGTCACAAGGCCATGAACATGCTGTGACTTTGCAGAAATGCCTGGCCTGTTGCTGTTTGGCCCAGAACAGGAATCGGGGCTTCTTTAGAGCATATTTCAAGTTTAAGAGCATTTATTACACTCAGCTGTAGAGTGACTCCCAAGTTCATCTCATTAGAATAGAATCATTAGAATGAACAGCAATTCCTTGGTCAGTTGAGTGATAGGATTTTCATAGTGTTTACAACAGGGAGTAGACAGGGCTTGTTATGTTCAGAGTTAGACCTTAACCCTTTCTTATCCATTGCCTCCTTGGCTTATTAAACACTGTGTCAATCAACTGAAAAATACCGGGCACTGGGCATTAAGAGTGTTATGGGTTTTATTTTTGTTTTTGTTTGTTTCTTGTTTTTTTCTCCCCCAAACCTCAAACTGTATCACCTAACCTCAACCTGAGGCTAAGTGTCATGGTGGCGTGTGCATTCAGCCCCAGTAAAAAGAAGGCTGGAAGGTGGCAAGCTGGAAGCTGACCAGGACTGCGTAGGGAGACCCCATCCAAAAAAGAACTGAGCAGGTCATAACTTAGAGGCAGAGATTGATCAGTTGCTTGGCTACCATGTGTAAGACCTTGCATTCAGGCCCTGGTGCCATGGGAAAGGAAGATGAGAGGAAATGAGATGCAAACCCTAGCCACCGTGATCCTCATGCCTATACCTGCCGTTGCTGCTCACCTCCATCCTTGCTAAGCCTTGAGAGGCTCCTCCCCTTCTGACCCTGGATGACTCACTTGTCTCTTCACTCTGTTTCATCAGCTGCCACAGCCCCCCACTTCAGCATGATTGGGATGCCCCCATTCCTTCCTCTTCCCTTCTAGCTCAGTAACAGTACCTGTTATGGAACCTGTGAGGTACATGTTTATACAGGGGACCCTTGGGATTAAACCTCAGTGGTTATATAAGGGACGTGTGAGACTCCAGGCTGAGAGCGCTGGCTCCCTGAATTAGGAGGACTGGAAGTCATGAAGCCACCACACGGACTTGTACCCACTGCATATGCTAGTGAGATGCATGATGTTAAAGAACGCCTCCAGAATGCAGCCTCTGCCTCTTTTTTGAATGACTGCTTTTTCTCTCTTTTAGACAATGGTAGATGAACTCATTTGTCCTTACCTTTCCTTGGGACATAAAAACCCAGCAAAAGCAGCCCCGTGTTATCAACCCATTGGGTCTGTGATTCATCTGCCCATATGCTTCCCAACAACAGTAATCTGCTACCAGAAATGACAAATCCTTCCATGCTTGGCGTAAGCATCCATTAAAAGGTAGAACCTGTAATTTTCCAGTAATGTTCTTTTCCCCATGGTTAGGGAATTGTGTCAAGACGTGTTTCAAATGAAAATAAACTTTATTACATTTAAGGATTGCAATGAAGAATCCTATTTAGATCACCAACCTATAGGAAATGGACATGTTGGAAGAAAATGGTGCCTTAGGGGTTTATTTTAGGTCTTCCTCATCCTCAGATTTTGAAGTTCTTTCCCATTAGTTTCAGCACCCTTGAAGGCATGCACCCTGCAGGACAATGAATACGCTACCCAATTTTCTTTCTTTCTTTCTTTCTTTCTTTTTTTTTGTTTTTTTTTTGTTTGTTTGTTTTTTGAAACATGGTTTCTTTGTGAATCAGTCCTGGCTGTGATGATTTCCTTTCTGCATCTAATGAATGCTGAAATTCATAGAGGAGGATGCTGTTACTTAGTCATTTATTTGGTTGCCACTCTTTTGACTCAGGAAGCCATAATTAAAACCCAGAAAACCTCTGCAATTCAAAATGAGGGTGCTTGAATTTTCTATTTTATTAGAACAATCTAGATGATATTCCAGGACAGGAAGCACTGGAGATTGTTGAGGACTGGACTGGGAGAAATGGCATTTACCAGTGCAGAAGTACCCAGGAACATGGGCTGGGTTTACTTTCCCTCATGACTCTGCTAAGATTTAAGATTCCAGAAGAAAAACTTTGCCACATGGTTTTCAGAGCACGAAAGAAGTCAATTATTTACCTCGTTTAAGTTTTAACTCCCAGAAAATTTTATTCTAGGTAAAATTTCTCAGTGCAGTTCCCTGCTGCTGTCAAAACAGATTTTTTAATAGTTAACTATTCTTCAAGACTGTGGAAGAAAATACTTAACAAGCTGTTGAGGAACCCTGCCATTTCTGCTGGGATCTGTTACTTATTGACAATGATTCAAACCTTATGAATTAGTGTGAATGCACTTGGACATGGCAAGATTTAGTTTAGGTTTAACTGTGATTGTGATGTCCCGAAATCCTAATTTTCCAAGGAATTACTCTTTTCTGTGGGTAAATATTCGTCTTTCAGAGATGTGTGTGGTTTTTAACATTCAGCAAAACACTGTGACTCCCCAGTAATTGTCAGTTTATTCCAAGGGGAACCCAAAACTCCAGACTCCTGAAGCTTGAACCAGGGAATCAGGCTCAGCAGTCCCCGCTTGTTTGAAGTGGTTTAGCTTCTTCTCATCTCACTGGAAACTGGTGACATGCCAACTAAGGAGGTTTGCTCCCAAGCAGTGAGACGTTGAAGTTTCCAAAGATAAAGCTACTGGGATGACCTGGCTTGTGTCTTTTGCTTCCTAAAAGAACAGTGACTCATAAAAGACAGTGAACACTAGCATATGCTCTGACAATTCTACTCCTAAGAACAGATTCCAAAGGATCAGATGTTGTCTTCAAATTGTTGTCTGAATGTCCATAATAGCATCATTCATAGTAGGTCAAAGGGAAACCATCAAATGTCCATTAACATATGAGTGAGTAAACTAAGTGTGGCATGTCCATACATTGAGCTATTGCAGAGTCTTGAAGAGCAGTGAAGCGTGGATACATTCTCCAATATGGAAGAATTCTGGAAACACTGTGCTAAGTGAGAGACGCCTAGTTGAAAAGGGCACTTACTAGGTGGGTCTCTGAATGTGAAGTCCCCAGAATAAGCAAATCCATTTATACAGAAAGCATGGTCTTAGTTACTAGGGTCTAGGCTAGGAGAAGGAAAGATGAGTGAGTGACTACTGAATTTGAGACAAGATTCGAGTAATGAAGATGTTCTATCATTGGGTTGTAGCAATGGTTGCACAGCATGGCATTCAGGTCATTAAATTGACATTTTAAGATGGTTATATGATGAATTTTATGTTCTTTTTATTATTGATGTGTGTGTATGTATGTACATGTGTGCATTCATGCGTGTGAATGAGAGTATCTGTGAGACACAAATGCATAATAATCAGTGGACAAACTTTACCTTGTTTGAGAGAGTCTTGTGTTGTTCTCTGCTGTGTTTGCCCAGCCAGATGATCCTCTACCTCCAAGGATCCTCCTGTCTCCTGCTTCCCATTTCCCCCACAGAGGTTCTGGGATTACCAATACTCATGCTATTCCTCCAGATTTTATATAGGTTCTGGGGGTGTCAAATGCTTTTACCACTGAAGCATCTCCCAGCCCTGTATTATTCCTTTTTTATCGTGCACAGATACAAAAACATGGGGTGAATTAGGGAAGACATCTCAGAGTGAAGCTGTCTCTCTAACCCAAATGTCTTTGGGGCAAACAGATAAGAGAAAATTCCTGCCTGTGCTGGCTAGTTTTGTGTCAACTTGACAGGCTAGAAGCTTCTATAATATTGGATTATGGGCAAGCATGTAGAGCAGTTTCTTCATTAATGATTGGTGTGGGTGGGCCCAGTCCTTTGTGGGTAGTGGCAGTCTTGAACTGGTGGTTCTGGGTTCTATAACAAAGCAGGCTGAGCAAGCCATGAGGAGCAAGCCAGTGAGCAGTATTCCTCCAAGGCCTTTACATCAGCTCCTGCCTCCAGGTTACTGCTCTGTTTGAGTTCCTGCCCTGACTGCCACAAACAATGCTGTGGAGGTCTTAGTGAAATAACCTTTTCTTTCCCAAGTTACTTTTGGAAAAGGTGTTTCATCACAACAGTACAAACAGTAACTTAGACTCTGCCACTATGCAAAAAAAAAAAAAAAAAAAAAAAAAAAGGAGGGGGTCTATGGCTCTCCCTACAGAACTTACATGGGGAATTCTGAAAGAAAGTATGCTAATAGCATATCAAAAGCTTGCTGATGTGAGAGAAGCTGGAGGCAGCAGACATTCCCTGTGACAGAAGTCAGCCTCTTCCCTGAAACTTTCTGAAATAGTCCAAACCTAGAATGTCGAGTGGCAGCAATGCTCTGGACAGGCTTTGGTGACAAAGCAGATAGCAGAGGTCTGCCTTCCAAGCAGAGTTTGTTGACGGATGAAACATGCGATTTGTTCTGTCTTCTTTGCTGGATTATGGAAGGTATGACAGGGCAAGTAATTTAGGCTCTAACAGCCCCAGGTTCTTCGCCTAATAACTGGAGGTGATAGCCTTTGCTTTTTCCTGCTGCCCAGATGTCCCTTTTAGTGTCCATCCTTGATACTTCAATAGCTCCTTTCTGAGAACCAGGGAATCCTGGTCATGGGCACCCTTGTCCATCAGGGTGTTCTACCTTCTGTTGGAACTCAGTGGGTAGTTGTTGGGAGTCTAGAACTGAGGACAGTCCACCTGACGGAGGCCTGGCTGTCAGACCATACACACCTGAAAGCGGCTTCATCGAGAGTGGAAAATGTACCCTTGAGGTGTTCTGGAATAGAAAAGTGGCCAAAAATAGCATAATCTGTGAAAACATAATTTTAATTATGTTTAATGTCTACTTATTTGATGTGAAAATATTATTTTAATTATTTATGAGATGCAATGAACAACTATGTAGGTGATGACCTTTCTGGCCCTCGAAGTATTTTAATGCCACCTTGACAACTGTGGGACACAGTTTCTTCTGTTTCCCTTCCTTCTCCCCCTCAGTTCCTTCTTTTTCCTTTTTTAGACATTGTCTCTCTGTGTAGCCCTGGCTGTCCTAGAACTCACTATGTGGACCATGCTGGCCTCCCATTCAAAGATCCCCCCATCTCTGCCTCCTGAGCACTGGGATCAAAGCCACGTGCCACCATGCCTGGTGTTTGCTCCCCTCTTTCCCTCCAGCCTTCTCCTTCCTCTTGTCCCCTTTCTCTTCACCTCCTTCCCCTTCTCCTCCCATCCTTTAGATCTTTGTCTTCCTCCCTTCCTCTCTTTCACCTCCCTACTCCACTTCTCCTTTCTTCCCTATTTTTTTTTCAGTAATAGGAATCATGTACACACTGGGCAAGTACTTTGCCACAGTGCTACACCCCCAGCCACGGATTCGGTGTTTGAGGGAGGGTTGACAAAAAAACTGTGGAAGCCTCATCCAAGCTTGTGTTCATTCATTCATTCTTTCTTTCATTCACCCTTTTATTTCCTCATTCAGACAGACATGTATGGAAAGCACATCCCTGTGCCAGGGATAAAGTTGTCAGATATATAGATAGAAACAACCAGCACCTAGGGATCTCACCACTTCAACAGCTGTCTAGCTAAGTCATCAGATAACCAGCTGTGTGAGGCTTTACCTGACCCCACCCCATTTGTCTCTTGCAGTGCACCAAGACGTGTGGTGAAGGCTCCCGGTACCGACAGGTGGCGTGCGTAGCCGAGGACCAAAGCGAGGTGCACAGTGCACATTGTGACTCTGACCAGCGTCCTCCAGACCGTGAGAGCTGCAGCCTGCAGCCCTGCGAGTATGTGTGGATCACAGGAGAGTGGTCTGAGGTACTGTCCTGGGGAATGTGTGATGCTTTCAGTACAGGAGCAGCAGGGTGATGGGGTGATGCCTTCCAGGTCCACTTCTGAGAAACATGTGTTCTCACACAGTGACAATTCCCTGACTTCTGCTTTCTGGGAGTCACCTTAGTTCCTTTTAGTACAGATAAAAAGGAATTATTATAGGGGCTGAAAAGTCATAGGATGCCTTCAGGTGCCAGCAGAAAGTTATGCATAAGAATGTATCTTGAGGCTAGGGAGAAAACTGAGTAAAAGTGTTTGCAATGCAAGCATGAGGACCTGAGTTCAAATCCCGGGAACTCATATAGAAGCTGGACATCGTGACTTGAGTATCTATAACCTTGGTCCCCTACTGGGAGATGGGAAGTGAAGAAAGAAGACTACTCTAGTATTTGCGCCTAGATGATATATTTGCTGTGCTGAACTATATATCTTTACTCAAATTGATCCAAAAGTCTTTTCTAACCATTTCCCCTGCCTTCTACAACACTGATTTTCATCTTCTGAGGGGGCATTTGTCAATGTTGGGAGATGTCTGGTTATCACAGCTAAGACAGGGGGTACTTCTGGTATCTTGCAAGTGGAGGCCAGGGTTATTACAAAGTGATGCACAGTGCACTGCACATGCCCACAACACACACACATCAGAGGCCCAGAGTTCCAAGGCAAAGAACTCTTCTTCTCCAGACAGCATGAAGAGCCTTTAAACAGTGATAGGAGAGCCTAAGTTCAGATCCCCAGAACTCATGTGAAAAGCCAGGCATGCCCACACGTATCTGCAGTTCCAGAGCTTATGGGTAGCATCAGGAAGCTCTCCATGGATCCCAGCCTAGGCAATCAGTGAGCTCAAGATTCAATGAGAAGCCTCTCAAAAACAATGATGGGGAGTGATAGAAAAAACATCCTGTGTTTAACTTTGACTGCTGCATATGTACCCATGATCACACACACACACACACACACACACACACACACACACACACACAAAGACAGAACATTAAGATATACATTTACACAGTTGCCAACAAGGAACAAGTAAGTCCAGATATGAGTGTTCAGAAAATTCATTGAGTAGCTTGGGTCAAAATCTTCCAAGCATTCAGATCCCAGCAAGAGAAGATTGAGAAGGGCCTCTGGATATACCTCCTTTCTTCTCATCCCTCTCAGTATTGGGCGAGCTCTCCCTAGTGCCCTCCTCCTGTCTCTCCACAAGTCTTCTGTCTCTCAGTAAACTCCTCCTTTGGGCTCTGATTCCTTCCTATCTGACTGTAGTTGCTATGCCTCCCTCTCAGCCAAAACCAGCATCTCCCTCGTGATCAGCCTCTTCAATGGGGCTTTACTATGCCGACAGACTTTCTGTCTCTTTCTGAGAGCCATGTTGTTCCATGTAGCTGTACTGCAACCTCAACCATCAACAGATGAAAGGATGTCTTTGAGTGCATGTGTGTACATGTTTATGTATACACATTGTGTAAGTGTGTGTGGTGGAAGCCAGAGGACAGCCTCAGGGATTTTCCTCTGGCGCTGTCCACCCCGCCCCCTCGCCTCCCGCCTGCCCCTTTTGGACATCAGGTCTCTTACTACACTAGAAGTCATCAAGTAGGCTAGCCTGGCTGGCCAGCAAGCCCCATGGATCCACCCATCTCCCTCCACGGTGCTAGGATTACACATGCACGCCACCACTTCTGGCTTCTTCTGAATGAATTCTGGGAATCAAACTCCAGTCCTTTTAACTGCACAGCAAGCGTTTGGCTCACTGAGTTACCTCTTCAGCCCTAAAAGAACATCTTTGGGAACATAGTTTCCCATACTCCCACAGATTCTCAAGTATGTTATGGATTGAAAGCAAACCTACATATTTTTATAGCAAAGGGTTAGAAGCAGATTTGGGCACAAACACAAGGACCACAGAGTCAGGGTCTGCAAGGATATAGGCAGGGAGAAGCTGGTCCCAGAACTCCTAGAAACTGTGCTTGAAGATGCTAGAGCAACTGCAAGGTACTCCTTCACTCTGGGACCTGTGCTTCTGGAAAGTTCTCTGTGTTGTTCTCAGCATTCACACCTCCCAAGTATGCAAGTCCTAGGACAGCCATGTGAAGAGAGGCTATAAGAAAACATGCATCTGCAGCATGAGGTCTGCAATACAGCCCTGCTGAAATGGGGCTGTCGATATTGCTTTGTTGTCACATTCAAGTTAGAAAAGGAAACTTTGCCTGTGAAGAGCTGCACGCATAAGGCCATGGCATTTGGAGTCCACTTACCCCACAGCTGCCACCTGCCCACTTCCAAACCCTGGCCTAGAGGAGCTGGGGGCTGGAGAAGTCATCAACTGTTTCGTTGTGCTACACTGTCAGCTGACCCATAGTATCTGGTCGTCCTGGATGCTTTACAGTTGTTTGGAGGCTTCTGACCATGTTTGTGGCCCAGCTCATCAGCAAATGTGTGTCTCCTAAGGCGCGTAAATGGCTGGCAGGCTGCTTTTGCTTTTGGTGTATAGGGGCTTGGCTCTCAGCATCTGCCTTCTCCAGTATACAGCCTTGAGGAAGTCAGCACATACTGAGGCCATAAAGGCATGAGGTCACACCCTCTAGAACACCCACAGCTCAGCTAGGCAGAGCTTGTCAACATCTCTCTACACTGAGACACTGGGGTAGCCTGAAGTCTCCTGGCCAGGAGTCAGCTGGGTCCTCCGGCATGTGAGCAGCAACAGCCAAAGAAGGAAGAAATAAGGATGGCACGTTTCCAGGTCTCCAGCCAGCTGGGAGGGCGGGCTCGGGATGCTCAGCATGCCTCTGGCTGGCTTTCTTCTATCCTGTTGCTAGGATTTCTCCAAGGCCAGCCCAGAAAAGTTAAAGGAGAAGAAAATGGCGTAGCTTAAAGCAACAGGGCAAGAGACATCAGGCAGACAGGGTGGCTTTCAAATGTCCTTGGGGATTAATGAAAATTGGACCCTCATCCTGGAAGAAACATGACATACACATGACGTGCTATTTCCAGGAGCTCCTCTCGTGCCCTGCAGTCTAGAGAGGTATAGAGACGCTGACTCCTCTCTGTTTGTGTAGTGCCTTTACCAAGAATGGCACTTACGCACAACACTGCCTAGAAGCGTCATCCAAGTGGTATGAATTGTAACTTGATTTTATTTTTTTCTATTAGCATACGCTAATTATAAATTTAAAATGGGCCTCATTATGATAATTTCTTCCCATTACCCTCTCTTGTCCACTCCTGTTCCCACTGATCCCCTTATCTTTCCTACTAGTCCCCCTTCTAGTGTGAGTGTGTGTGTGTGTGTGTGTGAGAGAGAGAGAGAGAGAGAGAGAGAGAGAGAGAGAGAGAGAGAGAGAGAGAGAGAGAGAGAGGAGAGAGGAGTTTCACCAGAGTTGCTTGCAGGAGCACAGGTGAGAAGTTATTTGCAGACATAAATGATGGACTAACCCACTGAAGAAAACATTTCTCTCCCAGCAACCATTAATTTCGCACAGATCCTCAGAAGGGGTGGCACTCCTGAGCTCCTCCTCCCCTCCATAGCCGGACATTGACTGACTCAATCTTGTAGCGCTCTAATACAGCTATCACAGCTAATTCAAGCGTGCCACAGTCATGCCATACCCAGAAGGTTCCAGCATTCCACAGAACTCTACCTCATCCTCAGGCTCTTGCATTCCTTCTTTTCTGCCCTCTTTTCTGCAATCTTCCCTGAACCTTGGAAAGGGTAACAGGATGTCTCATTTAAGGCTGAGCACCCAACAGTCTCTTATCTTCAGTATCTTGACCAGTCTTGAGCCTGTAATTACTACTGACTGCCCCCAAAGCAGCATCTCTCATGGGAGCTGATGGCGGCACTCAACTGTGGACATGAGTGTAATTATTTAGGAGTCTGTTGACGACTGTGTCATGCCCACCAGTGCCCAAGTGGCATGTTGGCAGTATATGAATAAAACTGTTGTTGACAGTTCTCTCCACCAGTGGCCTGTAGAGCACGATCCATCTCTGTGAAAATAGGGAGGAAGTTTCCAGCAGCCAAAGTGTATGGTGTCTTTAGTCAATAGGCTTGTACCATCTAGTTATGGGGGGAACCAACCACGGCAGCAGTTGCCTGAATCATTTGGGGGCTCTTGGGACTCTCCCTGACCAACATCTCACTGGGAGGTGGCCCACCCCATCATTTTTGTTATGGGGTCTACTTTCCTCGCCTCCTCAGGATACTGTTTTGAAGATTTTTAGTTTTCTTTTTAACTAGATTACCAAGTTTCCTTACACCCTTTTCATATATTCTCAGTTTTCCTTGATCCCCCTCAAGCCACCCTGCTGCCTGTCTCCCTGCTCTCTCACCCTCTTCATTTAAGCTATTCCACCCCCAGATTCTCCCTTCTGCCTTCATGTGTTCTGTTACCCTCCCTGCCCCACTCTTAACCCCCACCACAGTGATTTTCTACTTCCCTGTCTTCTGCACAGCCTCACTCCCACAGAAACATACATATGGAGAAATTAGCAGCCGGGACCTGCATATGACACTCAACGTGCAGTATTTGTCTTTTTGAGTCCGGGTTACCTCACTTAAACTCCATCCATTTTCCTGAAGATTTGATAATTTCCTGTTTATTAATGGCTGGGTTAAATTCCGTTGTATATGTATATTATATTTTCTTAAAGATTTTATTTCTTTTTCATTTTTAATTATGCGTATATCTATGTGTCCATGTGAGGTTGTCCACCTGAGTGTAGTTCTTGATGAGGCCAAAAGAGAATGTCAGATGCCTCTGAGCTGGAGTTCCAGATGGTTGTGAGCCACCTGATGTGGGTATTAAGAATCAGGTGGGGTGGTGGTGGTGCACACCTTTAATCCCAGCACTTTGGAAGCAGAGGCAGGTGGACCACTGTGAGTTTGAACTAGCCTGGTCTACCGAATGAGTTCCAGGACAGCCAGGACTGTTTCACAGAGAAACCCTGTCTCAAAGACAAAGCAAAACAAACAAAAGCATCAGCTCAGGTCCTCTGCAAGAGCAGTGCTTGAATCTAATCAGGAAGTCATCTCCCCAGCCCTTACTCATCTTCATTATCTATTCTTCAGTTGACCAACATCTAAGGGATCCCATAGATAGAGTAGCAGTAAATGTGATCTGCAAGTGTGGGTGGCAGGATAGAGTCCTCTGGGTGTATTTCCAGAGCAGCATATCCGGGGTCACGTGGTAGCTCTACCTTTGGTCATTTGGGAAACTTCTACAGTGATTTCCGTAGTAGCTGCATCAGTTTACCCTCCCACTGTAAGTAAGCTATTTCCATTCTCTGTACCTTTGCCAGCATTTGTTGTTAATTATTTACATTATAGTAAGAATTTTGATGGGGAAAGATGGAATCTCAAACACTTTTAATATGCATATCTCTGGTGGAAAATGATATTGAACACTTTTTAAATGTTCCCTAGCTGTTAATACTTTTTTTTTAATTTTGAGAATTCTCTGTTCAGATCCAGGGCCCATTTTCTTTTTTACTTTTATTGATTCTTTGTGGATTTCACACAATGCATTCGACCCTTTTATCTCCCTCATCTTCTTGCTTCTGCCCTCTGCCCTTGCAACCCCCCCCCACTCAAAACCAAATTTAAAAGAAAAACCAAAACCAAAGCAAACAAACAAATCTTGTTGTGGAAGCTGTAGTGTCCCAATGAGTCATGCAGTTTACCCTTTGGTCCATTCATCTTTACTTGCGAATGTTCATTGCCATGAGTCCCTGGGTCTGGCTCTCGGCCTCTGGTTCTGCTACAGCACTGATTACAGGCTGTCACTGGGGCTCCTCTTAGATATCCTGTTGTTACCCTGGGTCATAGAGCTCCTGACTATTTAGGATCTGTAGGTTTGTCCCCTTCACCTGCTTTGTGGGGTGGGCCAATCATAGCCCTAGTTCTGGGCCTGGGTGGTAGCTGAGTTGGTCAGCACCCAACCCCCAGCTCTCCCTCATCTTCACTACCCAGGAGAGCTCTCCAGCACCTGCCTCAACTGGCTCACCCAGTGCAGCCTGTAGCAAGGAGCAGGGCCAGTTCTGCTCTCTGGCTCTCAGATTGGGATCCCTTGTATTCATATCCCCAGGGCCAGCTCTACTGTTTTGCCCAAGCAGGATTCATGCTCCTCTCTCCTGGTTGCTATAGGAGAAATACAAGGTGGCGGGGGGGGGTAGCTCTCCTGCTCTCATGCCCTCAGGACTGGCTCACTTGTGTGTGCCTGCTCCCTCCCCCCCATACACACACACAAGGTCAGCTCTAGTGTGCTGTGTGCTGCCCAGGTGGGGCACAGGGCCTGCTCTCCTGTGTGCTGCAGCTGGCAAGGGGCAGGGTTAGGACTCTAAATCTTTTGACCCGGGGCCAGCACTCTCACCAGCTGTAGGTTGTGATGGGTTAGGGAGAGAATGAGGAAGGGTATCTTTCTCTCACACATGGTACCACATGGCAGATAGGGGTGCGGGCTCAGGTCTCCTGCTCTCATGCCCTCAGGGTCTGCTCACCTGTGTCCCCAGAGGGTCAGCTCTAATGTGTTGTCCAGGTGAGATGCGCATCTGTGGTGAGGGGTGGGGCTATTTTTCCTGAGTGTGTGTGGGGGAAGGGGCTTTCCCCTCAGGGGTAGAGCCAGCTTGCCTGCTACAGAATCCAGTGAGGGGCATGGCCAGCCATCCCGATGAAGGGTGGGGCTGGCTCAACACAGCATGGCTGCAATGACCCCGGTGCTAATGTGGGCCATGGACATCACCACAGACCCCAGCTGCGCAGGACCACGAGCTCAGAGACTGCCCTCAGCAGCAGTTCAGGGCCAGTGGCTACCACAATCCTAGAGACAACATAAGCCACCCAAATCATCCTGGACCCAGCAGCAGCAAGGCACCCAGGCACCAGCATAGTCCCAGATGGCTAACTAGACCCCAGGCATCCACAGCGCCCTCCTGGGCAACAGGACCCATAGACACCACCCCAGACCCTAGCCACTGAGGGGCCATGGACACAGACACGGTCCTAAGCAGTGGCCTTGCCAGAACATCTCCGTGGCTTCAGGTGGCAGCACTAGTCACCCAGATCAGCGTGGCCCCGCAGAACCCATTTTTTTATTGGGTTGTTTGATATTTTTTGTTTGTTTAATATTTTGAATTCTTCATATAGTCTTTATAGAGATTCTCTTTCAGGTGTGTAGTTGGCAAAGATTTTCCTTCCACTCTGTAGGCTGCTTCTTAATTCAATTAACTGCTTTCTTTCTGTATAGTATTTTAATTTCATGAGGTCTCATTATTGGACTTATTTTCTGAGTGATTGGACTCATGGTCAGAAAGTCCTTACCGGAATCTATATCTTGGAGTGTTTTTTTTTCTAATTTTACTCTATTGGTTACAGAGTTTGGGGTCTTACATTCTAAGGTATTTGGAGTTGATTTTATGCAAAGTGAGTGATGGGAATCTAGTTTCATTTGTCTAACCTGTTGAAATCCAGTTCTCTCAGTATCATCTTTTGAGCAGGGTGTTGTCTTGCAAGTGTGTATTTTTGGCATCTTTATCAAAGATCTGGTGGCTGTAACTTGTGTGACTTATCTGTAGATCCCATATTCCAGTGATTCTCAACCTGCAGGCCTCAACCCTTGGGGTCACATTTTCATATATCCCACATATCAGATATTTCCATTACAATTCATAACAGAAGCAAAATTACAGTTATGAAGAAGCAACAAAAATAATTTTATAGTTGGGTCACCACAACATGAGGAACTGTATTAAGAGGTAGCAACATTAGGAAGGTTGAGAACCACTGCTCTATTCTATTTCGTGGATCTAGGTAGATCTGTTTTCTGTGCCAATACAATGTTGATTTTATTACTTGAAGTTAGACATGAGGATACCTCCAGCATTTTTCTTTTTACTAAGGATTACTTTGGCTCATTGGTGCTCCCATATAAACTTTTGTTTTTATTTCTCTGAGGAACGATATAAGAGTTTTGACGGGGACTGCACTGAGTCTGTGTATTGCTTTTAGTAGAATGCCTGTTTTCATAAGAAGTTTTTCCACCTTCTAGCATCATCTTCCTCTATTTAGTCCTTCAGTACCTTAAAGTTCCATTGTGGAGATCTTTTGCTGCCTTGTTTAGGCTTATTTCAGAGTTGGTTAGGATTTTCGAGGCTGTTGTAAATGAGATTGTTTTCCTGATTTCTTTTTCCATGTTTGTCATTGGCATACAGGAAGGCTACTGATTTTCATATGTTAATTTTGTATCCTGCAATTTTTCTGAATGTGTTTATCAGTCACAAGTGTTCTCTGGCAGAGTTGTTGGAGGCTTTTTTATACATAGAATCATATTGTCTGCAGATAGGGATGTTTTTACTTCTCCTATTTTCTCTCTTATCTTATCACTCTAACTCACAAGCATTCATTCTACTGAGTGAAGAGACTGCACAAGCTCCTCTTGTTCCTGATCTTGGAGGGAATACTTTGAGTTTCTTTTCTGAGTGTGTTTGGCTGTAGGTTTGTTGTGTATAGCTTTACTGTGTTGGAGTGTGTTTCTGCAATTCATAGACTCTTTATGGCTTTTATCATGAATGGATGTTGGATTTATGTCAATGGCTTTTTCTTCATCTGCTGAGGCTATCACATGGTATCTGTCTTTGAGTCCATTTATATGATATCTTGCATTTGTGGATTTGTATAAGTTAAACCATCTCTGCTTCTCTGGAACAAAGCCAATTTGACCATGATAAGTGATATCCTTGATATGTTTAGGAACTTAGTTTGTCAAGTATTATATTAATTTTTGTGTCTGTTTTCATTTGGGATATTGGTATATCATTTTCTTTTTGTTGCTGCTGTGTCTTTTGCCATATACTTACAATAAAAGAATCACATGACAGCTCAATTTAGAAAGAAAAGGGAGCAGGAAAGTGACTTGTTGTCCAAAATGCATAGCGAGGGACAGAAGACAGAAGGGAACTGGGCAGACGGCGAATGGGCACAAACAGAGAACCACAGAGAGCAGGAGATTGGATGAGGGACTCTGAAGTCTCCTTCTGGAAAATATTTGCATTGCACTCTGAGAATGCAGCTCACAGGCTGACCGCAGGCCCCTTTTCCTCTCCACATTCAATGGGTTGCTAGCATGGTCTTAGAGCACTAGAAAGGGGGAGTTTGGAGGCATAGGGATGTCTGTATCCTTCTCTGGGTTTTGAGATGCCTGCCTGGGAAGCCCCAGTTTGGGGAGTGTCTGGGAGCCTGCTGAGGATGAAGCCTGAGATGAAGGCTTCAATAGATCAACAAGAGAGAGCATTCTGCAGCTCCCACAGGAGGGCAAACTTGGTGTGGAGGGTGGGTGCTTACCGTGGCTGCTACAGGAAACCTCTGGAACATCCCCTCTTGACCTCTCTCTTCTCAGTGTTCAGTGACCTGTGGGAAGGGCTACAGGCAAAGGCTGGTCTCCTGCAGTGAGATTTATACCGGCAAGGAGAATTACGAATACAGCTACCAAACCACGGTGAACTGCCCAGGCACACAGCCGCCAAGCGTCCATCCCTGCTACCTGAGGGACTGTCCTGTCTCAGCCTCCTGGAGAGTTGGTAACTGGGGCAGTGTAAGTAGGGGCTGACTTGTCAACTCTGAAATCGCAAACCTTCTCTGAAGGCCTCCTGCCTGCCTGCAACTTGGCATGGCTGATTGGAGGAGAACAAGCAATCTAAATCCAAACAGCTGACAGTTCATCTTGCTTCACCCCAGGAAAAGCAAGTTGTCAAGTTCTGTGCCTCAATTTCTTCATTTATAAAATAGAGCTCTATGAAGATGATTTGAGTTATATATAAAAAGCACTTAGGTGATTGTGATCATTTTTATGTTACATTTTACTCTTTCCCCTACATCTTTACTATACTTTTTTCCAACTAACCTTTGGAACCTGGCATCTGGTAAGAGTTGCACAGGAAGCATTTTGGCTGCCTCCATTGTGGAGGCCCCTACACTCTCGCCTGTGCAGGAAGAACGTTGTTTACTCGGGGCACAAAATAGAATATTCGAAATTAAGTCTGTCTGGGAAAATCATTGTCACCGTCTTCTGGCTTTGGGCTAGGAAACTCTCAGGCGAAAGTGTGTAATGTGATAAAAGTCATGAGGGTTTGAATCTGATCTCCATGAGGGCCGTGAACAAATTCCTTCACATCTGAGCCCAGATCTTCCATCTGTAAAAACAAGTACTGTCAGTGCTATCTCACAGGGTTGTCAAGTGTCTTACATGGGAAGGGGGAAGTGTGTGCATAACTACATACAGTGACACACATGTGTAAATGTTTTTTATAGACTTGTGTGTTTTATAGATATAATATATATGTATATACATATACATATATATAATGCTTAAGTACATATATGTGAAGCTTAACACAGTAGTGATAAGAAATCAATAAATGCCAGCAGTGTGTCACACAGCCCCAGGGCTCCAAGCTTTGTGTCATGATGCCTATATGTCCCAGGTTCAAGAGCCACCCACTGACTCATCTTTGCCTTCTAGTGCTCAGTGTCCTGTGGTGTGGGAGTCATGCATAGATCTGTGCAGTGTTTAACCAACGAGGACCAACCCAGCCACTTATGTCCTGCTGGTCTAAAGCCAGAAGAACGAAAAACCTGTCACAATGTTTATAATTGTAAGTTGCTCCACCATGGAGAGCAAAGCATCAGTGTTCATCTGTCTATTTGTCTGTCTTCTTTAGAGATGTAGTACTTTTCTGTGTTTTTGTGGTGTGTTGGGCGGGGGGGGCAGGGGGAGGCGGTGCCTGCACTTTTGTGCTCAAATTTTTGGAAGCCAGAGACTGATCTCAAGTGCCCTTCCTCGGTCACTCTCCACCTTACGTTGCTCACTGAAGCTAGAGCTCACTGATTCACCACACTGCTGGCCCGTGAACCTTCATTGTCCTCCTGTCTCCCCCTCCCCAGCTCTGAGATTACAGCACACACTCACAGCCAGCTTTTGTGGGCGATCCATCACATCAACCTCAAGTCTTCATGTTTGCCTGGAGGGTGCTCTACTGACTGAACTCTCTCTCTCCTTGTCGGTCTTCTCCCCACCAACATCCCTCTCTCCTTTTCACCCACCCATTGGCCAGTTCGCACAGGCAGTGTGACGTATTCTGTCGGTAGATAGTGAACATCTGAGACACTCGCACCCATTTTTATGATTTGTGCTTCCTAGGCGAGTTACCCCAGAACTGCAAGGAGGTGAAAAGACTCAACGGTGCCAGTGCAGATGGTGAATATTTCCTGATTGTTAGAGGGAAGCCCCTAAAGGTGAGTGTTGAAGTCAGTCAGTTTCCAGAATGTTTTCACAGTCATCTCTGCTCTCAGCACTCTCTGGCTGCCTCTGTTGAGTTCTTCCTCGTGTGTCTTGCAGGTATTCTGTGCAGGAATGCATTCCGACTATCCCAAGGAGTATGTGACACTGGCCCATGGTGACTCAGAGAATTTCTCCGAAGTTTACGGGCACAGGTAGGAGGCTCAGTCCCAGAAGAGTTTAGATGCCTGGAGGCTCCTAGAGAAAATTTCCCATTCTTACCTCAATGCTGTTGCCATTGCTTAGGTTGCACAACCCAACAGAATGTCCCTATAACGGGAGCCGGCGGGATGACTGTCATTGTCGGAAGGATTACACAGCTGCTGGCTTTTCCAGTTTCCAGAAGATCCGCATCGACCTGACCAGCATGCAGATCATAAGTAAGTTCAGTCAAGCATCCTGCAGAAGTACATACCTCCTCTCCACTTGGGTCCTGTGAGTGCATAGATACAGAAGGGAAGTCACACAGGGTGACCACCATCCAGCAGTGACAACCCTGCCATCTACTTCACATGTCAAGGCTTTGTCTTTTTTGTTGAGCGCTGAATTCCAGTGCCTGGAGTGTGCCTGGCACAGGTCAGGTCTCCATCTGGTTTATGCTGAGTGAGGGAGAGAAAGAGATAAGTATTTGCTCATGGAAGTTTCACCAGTGCATGTCGGGTCTCAGGGAAGCACCATAGTAAGCAAGGCCTTGGGAATGGGACCGTAAGGATGTGAAGGGTTTAGACGCTGAGTGTGTCTATACAGGGAAAACAATAGAGCAGAAAGAAGCTTCTAGAGAAGAAGCAGCAGCTAGGAAACAGTAGCAAAGTCATTTGTAAGACACATTCCCCCTCCAGATGGCTCTCCCCAGCACAGAGCACACACACATAGGCAGAAAACTAATTTTATCTGATTGTTGATTTATGGAAGAAAAATGGCTTCAGAATTACCTTTCCTAACAAGGCTTCCCATGGCCTGATTTCACACTCTGGCCAGCACTCTGGTTCTGCTGGGCACATTAATCATTAGAGTGGGTAAAGACAGCTAAAATATCTAAACACGTTCTCTTGAATAGAGGAAGAACAGAAATAATGAAGAATTAAATTTTTTCTTATTAACATTGCACCCATAATATTACCCTGGTTTCCTCTTGAGTTAGATTAAGTGGGATTTGTACTGAGATAGTTTTTAGTTGCTGTCAGCTATACAGATTAGAGTTAGATGCAGTGCTTCTGTGTGTTTTTTGTTGTTGTTGTTGTTGTTGAGAAAAATGCCCCAGTTTTTGATCATCAGGGGTGGGGCTCATGACCCTGTCCCCTGAGCAACCATTGACTTTAAATCCCACTCCACTGAGGACTTGTAGGCAGCTAAGTTGCTAAGGGAAAGAGACACATCTTCTTCAGTAGTGTAGTTATGGAAATAACCCTTCACCTACATTCCTGTGAGTGACTAAAATGAAACTTACTGAGTCACACACACACACACACACACACACACACATACACACACACACACGAAGCACAAAAGTAGGTTAAGTACTGGGGAAGAGGAAAGGGCTGAGTGGGCATGGGAGGGAGACAAGAGAAGATAATGGGGTAATTAGTATATGCGAATGAAAACTTTAAAAAGAACCCAGCAAAGAGCTACTAAAGTGACCAAGGATGCCTCTGCTTAAAAATGGAGTCCCCCACCAAAAAAGAAAACCCTGCCCGGTGACCACAGCCACCATCTGCAGCCCCTCTGCAGCTCACTGTTTGTCCTGTCCTTTTGAGGAGTGGCCACAGGCTTAGAAAACAGCTGTGGCTCAACACTGTCTTTAGTGGCTTTTCCCCCCACTTTTAACTATGAGCTAGCCCCGAACTTGAGAAATTGCCATTAATAATTTCAAGATGTGTGTTCTAATTGTTCTACATCCTGGCAAGAGCAGGGCCTAGGCCACAGGAGGACAGAGGAAACTTGGGGATGGCCCCTAAGTGACTGGAAAGACTTCCCTGGCTTCTTGCCCTGTCCTCAAGCTGTGGAAAGCAGGGTAACAGGAGGTTCCCCGTGCTCAGTTACTGCACTTAAGTCATTTCCTATTTATGCAGGAATCAATTCTAAGATCATGTTAAACCTCTCTTTGGCTCCCATACTCTGTGGAGACAGACAGTCAGTGCTGATAAAGCCCAGGGAGAGAAGCTCTCAGAATCACAAATGTGATGGGGAAAACACCAGTGCACATCTGGAACCATTTGCTCACTAATAATTTGAGTTATTTCTTTCTCTCCCATTCCTTCCTCCTCTTTCTCCTCTCTTCTTCTTCCTCCTCCTCCTCTTCTTCTTCTTCTTCTTCTTCTTCTTCTTCTTCTTCTTCTTCTTCCTCTTCTTCTTCTTCTTCTCCCATCTCTTACTAAAATCCTGTCCCTTCCAAACTTCTCTCCCCCTGCCGTTCTTTCTCTCCCTTTAACCCTTTCCCCACTCCACAGCCACTGACTTAGAGTTCGCAAGGACAAGTGAAGGACATCCTGTCCCTTTTGCCACTGCTGGGGACTGCTACAGTGCTGCCAAGTGCCCACAGGTATGTCCTCAAGCCTCATCCCTCTGCACACCCTGCTTCTGAGACCCCGCTGTCCATGTGATTCCATAGTTAGAATTAGAGTCGTTGCTCATGGGACAGTTTGACCACATTGTATCACACATGCTTTTTGAGTCTGTCTACCCCAGGGATGTGACTCCTAACAAATGCTAACAGCTACAGGCATAATGTCTGTGTTCAGCCAGATGCATCGGGTATCATGGTCAAGATTTATGATCAAATCAGCTGTTGCATGGTAAAGACTTGGTTCGATAAATTATGAATCAATAAATGAATACTGCAGTCAGTAGAATGTTGGTTCATGCTTAATGATGGATTTGCCATCAACAAAATTCATGCTTTGTAGCATTTTTCAGGTTCTATGCTATATAAATATTCTCCCTGTGACTGATTTAAATTGTCACTAACAGTATGTCACTAAATGGGAAGAGATGCACAGAATTGACTAAAAAAAAAAGTCAATATGGAGCCAAGTCTGGTGGTATAGGCCTGAAATGTCAGATATTTTAGGAGTATGAAGCAGGAGAATTAGCAGTCCAAAGCCTACCAGGGCTATAAAATGGGTTACAAACCAGCTTGGCAACCTAGTAGGTTAGACCTTACCTAAAAAAAGGTTACCTAGCTTGCACACCAAGACCCCAGATCCAATCCCCAACACCCACCCAAACACCCAAAGACAACTGGAGGAGAAAAATATTACAAGTGATCCTCAGCATGCCAGTTTGTCATTATAAATTCTGATATTATAAAATATAGAAAAACATACATGGGGTTATATAAGAGAAATCAGTGTCAAAAGTATAGCATGCCCCATCTATGTTTTGGGTTGCATTTCAGTGTGTGTGTGTGTGTGTGTGTGTGTGTGTGTGTGTGTGTGTGTGTGTGTGTGTGTGTGTGTGTTGTATGTATACATATATGTATGTATGTATTGTTGTATGTATGTATGGAACTGAACTCAAGGCCTCTTGCGTGGCCAACACTCGCCGACTGCTGAGCAACACTGCCAGCCTCTGGTTTTGCTTATTGTTTTGAGAATTTCTCAAGTACTGTATTCACATCCTTCCAACCCTTCCCTCTCCCCTACACCTTTTAAAATGTGTATTGACAGAGAAAAGATCTGGAAGGAGATTGTTAAACGTCAGTGGGGTGTTTTATGGTTTTAAATAAATAAATATTGGAATCCGGAAGTTTCAAGATTTGTAAGGTATGCATGGGCATTCTCTGACTACACAAATGTTGGGCCTCTAGAATCGTCTCAGCAAATGAGCTGCCCTCCTTTTCTACTAACTCTGAGTCAGGTCATATCTGTGTTGTTGGAAACTCACACTGTCCAAGCCCAAGGAACCCATCACCCATGAGGAGACTAGAACTTCAACAGCCATGATACGATATTCTAAAAGTCCCCTTAGCCTGGGGTTTGGGGCTCTAGGGATGTCTTGATCCCATCTGTTAGCTCTACTGCATATGTATGAAATTCTCAGTGTTCACTCCAGAAATGCAAGCTAAGCGTCTTCACCTCTTCCTGCCTTTTCTGCAGTCATAGGCGTGCTCGCCTCTTCCAAGCCTTTGGGGAAATGCTTAATTTTCAAGTGTTACTCAGCCTGTACTAATTTTGCAAAATGGCCAGTAGCTTTTGCAAGAAGCTTCAGCACTTGGAGTGTAGACAGGAAAACATAGCTCGCGGTTTCCTTTGGTTGCCCTGTGGTTTTTTTGCAAAGCTGCCGTTAGAGGGCGCTGGATTTCCCCACTTGTGAGCATTCAGAAGTTTGGGCCTCGGGATTTGAGGATGCATCCCGAGTCCCAGGCCTTATCTTTGAAGAATGGTACATTTGTTCCCAACCACAGTGTCATCCAAGCTCACCTGAACTTGCTTCTAAGGAAACAGTGTCCTCCAAGTGCTTCATGCATCAGAAAACATTTTAGAGGAATGGCAGGGGCGCCCAGTGGAGAAAGAAAAGCAGCAAAGGGCATAACGGCTAAAGGGGGTTTCCCTCCATCACCAAGGAATGGTAAAGATTTGCAGCGCCGTTTCTTTAGGCTGCGGATGGCTTCAAGCATCCTGTCAGTGTGGCTTCCATTTCAGCAGCTAAGGCTGACCTTGCCCTGCCCTTTTCAACTGTCTTAGAATTTTCTCATTTCTATGTGCATATTCCTTGGGAAGTTAGTTCTTCAGTAAATGAAAGGTAATTTGTTTTCATTTATTTTAATAACTCAGCGATGTGAGCTCATTTACTAAATTCTGATAAGAAGTGATTGTTAAGTGGAAAACTCTGTGCCAGGGAGAGGGTTTCTATCTTTCCCTCAGCCAATTCTTTAGACTCTATCCGGTTCCTTCAGGATTCCTTAAAAATGTATTGAGCACTGATTGTGCTTATGAAAAACCTGAGTTGTTTGTTTGTTTGATTTGTTTTGTTTTTTTAATTCAGTTTTCCAGGGGAGGTTTCTAGGCAGCCTGACTAGGTGTGGTCTGCAACCTCAGGTTTGCATTGAAATCAAAGCAGAAGGATGCTGGAGGGTGCTCCGGCTGGACCCCCATTTCTTCCTCTCTACCCTTTGTCTTTGCTTTAAAAACTTACTTTTCAACACAAGAAAATTCCATGAACTATCTCTTCAACAGATGGCTAGAATATGGCTTTTATCCTGACTGCGGTAAACTCGGTATTGTTTCCACTAACCCTGAATCAGCCCCTCACCTTTCCTGAGAATTCTTCTGCATTTCAGGCACTGTGCTTAACATTCTGAAGGCGTTAGCACAGTCTCAGCTTCCCACCCCTTGGGATGAAATTCTAACTTTTCCAAAGCACACAGATGTCTCAGGACGGGCTGGATTTTATTCCAAGCCGTCTGAATACATCTCCGCTGTGGTAGATGTTTCTTCCTCGTCCTGTTGCCAGGCAGAGTCCTGCTACATTCACCCCTGTAGGGCAGGAATAGGATCCCTGTTGGTCTGAGACCCTCTCTGCAGACCTCTGTCGATCATCTAGCATATGTATAACTCTTTGTTTCTGCCCTCCCAAGAGTCACTAGTTATAAATCTTAGACCTTTTAGATGCCAAAGACAAGATCGTGGGTGCAAATGCGTCCTACAACAGAGACAGACCATCAGGTTTTTTTCTTCTCTGGGGCACTTAGTTTTTACAGTGCCAGTCAGCTAAGATGTTTATGGAAAAGTGTAGGTCCTTCAACCAGAAAATTCAGGAGAATGAGAAAGACGACCTGCTGTCGCCTTCAAATGTGTCCCCCTGGCTGAGAGTATGGACCTAAAAGATTTCAAGGAGCATGCTTAGTCACAGAAAGCCCAGAGAGTTAGGAGCACTGTGAGGACAAGAGCCAGGCCGGTAGCATCCACCTTCTGAGAACTTCAAAGCCAAAGTAGATCAGGCATTGCTTCTGTGGCAAGACAGACGGAGTGGGGGGGGGACGAGCAGCCCCTGTGTGTGGTGGGTCCTGCCCTTCTTGAGTAGCAGTGACCTTGAGATAAGGAAGTAGTGACCAGTGGGATCTTGGCACAAGCCTGTGCACACCCGCCCTCTCAGCACTCTGAAGGCTAAAGCAGGAAGACACAGAGTTCCAGGCAGCCTGGGCCACATAAAGAGACTTTCTCTCCAGACTGTTTCATTTTTTACTTTGTAAAAATTAGGAGGGAAAGTAAAACAAAAAGGTCAGCAGCAGAGAATTGTATGAGGCGGCCCGCATGGAAGTCCCAATCGGTCATATTTGTAAACGCCTTGTATTGAGGCCACTCAGTGTAACAACTACTAACATCTACACAGTATAGTCATTAAAAACATCTAATAATATCTCCTCCTGTCTGCCAGGCAAGGAGGTAGGTGCAATATGGGGTGGGGGGGCGGGGAGGTTTCCGTCTGATAACCTCCTTTTCAGAAGTTTGATCTTATTAACCCATCTGATTGATGGGCTTGGGAAGTAACCCACTTACTTACGGTCCACTGAAGCAGATACAGGAGGGGGCGCTGTGGAATGAATCCATCTTTTACCCCCCAAGATTTCTCACTCTCTGCACTTCAGACCTTGTGGCCCCGGGCTGGATAACAATCTGTCAGGACAGGGGCCGTCCTGCTACTTACAGGCAGTCTGTGGAGTCTTCAGTGTCCACCTGTTACATAGACCCCTCCCCTGCCACCCTCTGGGATGTCTCACACCGCCTGCAGACATCACCACATTTCTTCTGAAGACATGTCACCCCCACTGTCACCCCACAGAAACCCGCTTTGCACCTCAGCTCCAGAAGGGTTCACGCGGTTTATTTGCTCCTATTTATTAAGGAACGGGCAGGAAGAAAATCCCAGAGCCACACCTCATCCTGGGAGTTTCAGTTGAAGACCTAGGACTTCCGATAACTAGTAGAAACAGACAAAGTAATACTGAGCCTCTCCCCTAAATAATCCCAGCACTCGGGAGGCAGAGGCAGGCGGATCTCTGTGAGTTTGAGTCCAGCCCGGTCTACAGCCTGAGTCCCAGGACACCCAAGGCAGTTACACAGAGAAACTTTGTCTTGAAAAACCAAGAGAGAGAGAGAATGCAGATATGATACTCACATTTTTTATTATAGAGAGCAGTATTTCTACTATGTATCAACCACATGAGATTTTATTTGTTTGTTTGTTTCTCCTAGAGTTTTGTTTTGTTTTAAGTCAGGGTTTCCCTGGGTGATGTAGATTGCCAGGATCTGACTGCCATCCTCCTGCCTCAGTCCCCTGAGCATTGGATCACAGGCAGGGGCCAAGACACCCAGTTTAGGTGAGCTAGTTTCATTTATTCCTCACTAGAGTCAATGAGGGAGGTATGTGCATTACCTTCTATTTTACACATGGACCAAGAAAAGTCTTGAGAGGAAGGACTATCTCTCTGGGATCTAATCACTGCTGAAGGAGTTAGCTCATTCATGACAGGGTTTGGTTGTAAGTGGCACCTCTTTTGCTTTAATGTGTGACAAAGCTGCAGTTTCTCAGTTTGGGGTGAAAGCAATCCTGAGATCGAAACCGCCAATGATGAAGACGAGTTTGAAAGAGAGGAGAGGCCGATACACCGCACTGGTTCCTTAGAGATAAATATCAAAGAGCCCAGACCACACACCCTGGGAGCCTTTGGGAATCTGTCCCCTGAGTAGAGTTGTGGCAAGAGGATGGAGAGGTTGGGGTGGGAGCCTCGTCAGCAGGCCAAACGCGCCCTCTTCTGGCTGCTCTGGGAAACGCGCCTCTGCTTTGAACTCCCACCCAGCGGTGCTTGGTACACACTGTGCTTGCTCTTCGCCCCAGGGGAACTGGAGACCCAGGAAACTTTGGCAGCTAGATCTTGTTAGAAAAATTACACTGTGCCATTTTGGTCGTGAAGGAATCTGATAATTGTGAGCAACATCAGAGTTGCTGTGCTACGGAGGCCGACGGGAGGAAGCTGTGAGAGGGGATTTAGAAGTCAGTAAAATGACCCAAGCTCTTTACTGTGTTCTGGAGGGAGTTAATCGCCTGCGGTCCTGGGTTTCACCATCTGTAAACATAATCCCTACCTAGAAATCATGAATGTAAAGTGTGTGGCTCTGAAAATGGAACAACAAATACCTTCAAAGATTAGTGGCCATCAAAATTAATTAACACCCCTCTCCTTACCAAAGTGCCTTTAAATGTGTCAGCTTTGCTTCGTTTGGTATGTGGTGTGTGTTGAAAGTCTTTCGCACTGCCTATGTGTTCCAGGGGCGTTTTAGCATCAACCTTTATGGGACTGGCCTGTCTTTAACCGAGTCTGCCAGATGGACATCGCAAGGGAATTATGCCGTTTCGGACATCAAGAAGTCTCCGGTAAGACTGCTTATCGTTTGGGGAGTGGGGGATAGACCTTGCTTTCATTTCATGAACATTGTGGGAAAGCAACCCTGCCCCCACGTAAAGTGCCAGAGAAAAAATTTAGAGCATAAATACAAGAAGGAGTGACACAGGGGTGTCTCATCGCACCTGGTTGGAGCTTTTCCCACCTAGTAAGTGCGAAGCTGGCCAGGCACCCAGAAGGACTACCTGATCAAAAGCGGGGGAGGGACCTCCAGAGTGCACACAGGCTCACGGGTCTTTACTAGTTAAACAACTCGTGTGAACCTAGGAAAATGGTATTTTGTTCTGTTTTTTTGCTTTGTTTTGCTCAGAAACCAAATTGCAATCCCGATGGGAAGAGGTTATGGCATGATATTTTCAGGGAAGTTAGGGATACTCGCACAGCTTCTACAATAATCCATTTTTGGGCCACACCGCTCCCAGAGCACAGGGCATGTCAGCTACACCGGGGCATTAGAACGCACACACTGGGACCTGGTCTGCTGGCTGCTGGTCTGGAGCTGAGCAAGCCCCAACAGCACAGCCAGAGAATCACCCACCTGGGAGATCTAAACGTGTGGTCCCTCTGCCCAGGCTGTGTCTCCATGGCGATTTTGATAGACAGCGGGGTGGAAACTTCCCCCATTCCTTGCAGCCCTTCCATTGAGTTCTCAGGCCAGTGCAAGAGCCCCCTGGGGATATAGCCCCATCCCTGCTCGGTCGTGCCTGCACGGTGAATCCAGTGGGTCCGGAATCGTGTGGCCAGAGCAGCAAGCTAGAACTGCAAGGCAACTGTGAAATGGTTTTCTACTCTTTCTTGAAGCTCCTACAGGGTGTTCACACATTTTCAAACAGTCGGTCCCCAATTAGGGGAGTACACACATGTAACTTCAGCAATGGCGGTAGGGGAAGGTGCTAAGGGAATCTTCAGTTTAAAGCCAACTTAAGCCACATAGCTAGACCCTGTCTCCAGACCCCCAGTGCTACAACTACAGAGAAGTAAAGGTAATATGTGCTTATCTGAAATTCATATTTGACTAGTGTCTGTGTTTTCTCTTGCGAAATTTGGCAGCCCTTTCTAGCGTGCTGCCCGGGGCTTAGAAGCAGAGGGTGACCAGCAGTTCAGCCCGCTGTGTTGCAGAACCCCAGGATGGGGCGGGGCCCTTTCTGACTTTCTCAGGAAAGTGTGTTTCCTGACCCCCTTTTAAACTTCTGGAATTCTATCTGCATCTCAAGTCCTGATTTCGCCACCAAGCTAGGCAGGGATCACGGTTCTGAGTCAATGGCCACATTTATTGCTCATGATTTAATCATAAGTATTGTCCTCCCACCAAGAGTAATATTGGCAGTTGAAATGGCACAGTGACCTTTGACTGCACCCTGATATTACAATATTCTTCCCTACCACCCCCCACAACCCTAGATCCATAGATTTCTTTTTTTACAGAAAATGAAATTAGTGTTTTATTGTGTTCGGTTTTTGACATATGCAATATGTCTCAATAACCAAAATTGAAAAAATTTTAACTGTTTTAGATATAGTTGAATGAAATCATTTCTGCTAGACTATTTTAATAGTGACATTTTAGCCAGAAACTAAAAATAACTAAAGGCTGTGGTGCCATCTTATGGACATGTTGAGTACTGCACAGGCTGTTTCCCACCCTCTGGGAATTTTCCCTGAACTGCTGAATCTGACAACTGCCTATCAGCATGATTTTCTGTGTGTCTGTCTGCTGTGGGTTTTGTGTATGTGTGTGTGTGTGTACATATGTGTATATGTTGTGTGTACATAAGTAGAAGCTAGGACTTCAGGCTTCCCACCTGCTGCCTATCTAGACCGGTGCTGCTGTTCTAGCTTCAGAGCAGCACCCCCTAGAGGTGATCTAAGAAAACTGACTCCCAGAACTGCTATGGTTGGGAAAAAAGCAGATGGTATTGTCTTCCTGAAGAACACCCCCTACCTCCAAGATTCCGGCATTGTCACAGAGGAGGAAGTGGAAATGTAAGAGCCACACCATGTGGACGTCTTCAGCAAACGTGTCTGAGTTGCTCTCCACAAACTCACAATGGGAGGAGGGGCTCTTGGCAACCCACCCCTGCACGAGACGCTACTGGCAGTTGATGGTTGTTGGGAAAGGGTCGGTTTCTTCCAGGATGCAGCCTGGAGAGGCTACCTGGGTCCCAGTGCACAGTCCTATATGCACACACACACAGGCAGGCAGCTGCCAGCAGACTCAGTGGGTTCCAGAAAACAGGGAACTTGAAGTTGGGAGGGAAATGGGATGGAGGGATCAGGAAGTGATTGGAAGGGAGGAGATGGGGTAGGTTTGATTAGAACACATTGTAAGTGTATGGATAGTAAATAGAATGTTTTTAAAATTAAAACAAAATTTTAAAAGTCATAGGAACATTAGCTTGTTGATGATAACAGTAACATCTATTGGCAAGAAACCCCTGTGACCTTATTTGAACAGAGTCCTCCAGAAGGGGCAGGTGCTGCGGTGTCACCAGCAAGGCTCCATCAGCCATAGCAGACTTCTTTTTTTCTGTTCTTGGTACTGGAATCAAATGCAGGGTCCAGCACTTTCTATATCACTGAGCAACACACTGAGCCCTCAAATGTCCCTAATCTGTCTAGAAGAAACCAGAAATGTATATCCCTAATGGTTTCCAAGGTGATGCCATGTGTCTAGTCAGTAAGTACGACTTGAAAACCCCTGCCCTAAGTTAAAGCAAACTGCTTTTCACATTCACACCTTTAATAGAGCCACAGAAGCAGTTCTGTGTGGTGCATGCTGGGAATTATGTGACATTCCACTCCCAGTCAATGCCCCCAGCAAGAAAACCTTGCTTCCCTGAGCCTGCTTGGGAATAAAACATTCTCCTTAATCAAAACTAAAAGAAAATTCCAGTGGTGCAGACTAAACCTGGATCTCCGGTGCCATTGAAAGCCAGAGATGCCACCTCACCCCTGGGGACAAAGTTCCTTGTAAACATTGTGAAGAACCCTGACACCTGTCTTTACCTAAGACAAATCTTGCCTGTCATTCAAGTGCAATGGTTCCCTCTTGTGCTTTGATGGCCCTCAGTAGACGACTAAGACCTCAGGAAACACTGAAGTCTAACTACACTAGCTTCCCTCTGTCTGTTCATTCCTGTGGTGGCTTAATTTATTAGTAGGACACAGTAAGAGATTAACAACAACTTCTAATAAAATAAAAGCAATGCATCGTGAACAAAGACGTGTGAATATGTGCTACGAAAACACCCTGGGCTCGCCCCATCTTGTGATGATGCTACACACGAGGAAGAGAATGTGCAAGCGCTGTGGTGGAGTGTTGGGCTATGCCAGACTTCCTTGAGCACAGACCGTGACAGCGGAGCCATTGATGTGAGGGCGGGGATGTTCAGAGTTACTAAGGAGCGGGTGTCTGTGCCGTGGACACACTGGACAAATGAATGAGTCACCACCAACTGGGGTAGAGCTTGACAGTGAGATGTTTCATCATATTCAGAGTGGCAGGTATTTAAAACTTAGGGTTTTGTTTTTGTTTTTGGAATTTCTATGTACTATGTTGAAGCCACAGCTGACTGCAGATAAAGGAAACTATGCCGATGGGTACAAGGCTTCCAGAGCTGCTCTTTGTTTGGAAACTTACATGTTGATCTGACTCTCCCAGCTTAGGTGGGACAACAAGTGAGAAGAAAGGTGTCTAAGTTTTCAGGCGTCAAGTTGAGGATGTAGGCAAAGAGGTGCATGCCTGATAACCCTCCATAGCGGGCTCTGTCTGGCTTGCCGCGGTGCAGTCATTGGCTGTGCAGTGAAGGCCCTCCATAGCTGCTGAGAGACGTGGTGTCCCCCATCCGTACAGGAGGTCCCCACACATACAGCATGGGCGCTTGTCAACATTGTCGCCTTGGATTCTTGTGGAAGCAGGCAGGCAGCAGGAGCATAAGCAACAGCAGTTAATGCTGTGGCATCGTCCAGACTTGTGGCTTCCTGTTCATTTGCAGAGGCTAGCAGAGGCTGCCTGCCTGCTGGGGGGCAAAGGGACTGCCGGCTGCAGGTTGAACCTGGGAAAGCTGTCCACACCCCACATTGGGCTTCCTGGCCAGCGCTTGTTTGGAGGGTCTGATGGATTCTCACTGTCTCAGCTTAGGTCCCTGCCCAAGGGCTAAGTGGACAGAAGCAAGACTGGCTCGGAGGTGAGGAATGAGGGAAATGTCCAAGTTCTGAGCTTGGGTACCAGGGACATTCTGGCTCCCTCAACTGCAAATGTGCCCAGGGCATGAAAGGGCTCTTCAGGCCTGATCAGAGCTCAGCCATAGCCCCCATCACCATCTTCAGGGCTGCCTGCCTGGTGCTCTTCTGGGGCGGAGATCCCAACTGGGTTTTCGGGACCAGGCAGATGGAAGAGAGCACACTTCTGGCTGGTTGGGGCTGGTGCTCAGGGTGTCTCCTGCCTTCCTTATGTGCCTGGGGGATTTTAAGGCACAGGAAGCCTGGTCTCTGGGTCTGCCATCTACCAGGATTCCTTGCACTATAGAAAGGATTATAAATCCAATAGTCACTTTATAAAACAATGAAAAGTATACTGTGTGGAGCAAACAGGCCTTTCCTACCTCTGCATTCCTTTTAAATGGCTGAGTTAAGAAAGGAACATAGCTGTTTGCACATGCGTATACATGGTATGATGGACTGCCATAAAACCCACTATTCTCTAAGTACCCAAACCATGCCACAGACCTGCAACATGGAATTCTGTATATTCGCATTTTCTGTGCATGTACATTGAAGACTGCACATTTCTATGGAAACTGCACAGTGTCTATGCATCTATCTGTACTTTCATAGTTGTCTGAGACTGTATTTGGGGAAAATCATTTGTGCTATTTTTATAGGAAGTTTCAGAAAGAGTTAATTTTGCATGTCATCTTAACCCTAACATTTCATTTTAGATCCTAAAACTATGTCTCTAATTGTTAATATC